TTCAACATGACGTGACAGCCACCATATATACACACACACACACACACACACACACACATATATATATATATATATATATATATATATATATATATATATACTAGTGCGTGTATGTATCTATGTATTCTGTTTATACGTTATTTTAATAGACACAATTTATTTAAGTAAATGCGCTGTTTTTTTTTTAAATAAACAGTGGTAATTACATTTATTGGCCTGATTATTCGAGAATGTTTGTAGGAAATATGTGCTTTGGCGACAGGAATCGAAACGTATAACTCCCATGTAAATGTTCGTAAATGCAATTAATATTGTTTATTAAAAAAAAGCTGTGGATATGAAAGGATCCAATTAAAAATAATTACATAAAATCTAAATTGTTCAATGAATCATATCTCAATGAAAACGCTGCCAAAACACACACACACACACACACACACACACACACATATATATATATATATATATATATATATATATATATATATATATATATTATATTCTAAAGAGCCAAGAACAACCTATGTAGGTTTCGCATAAACAGATCTTAAACGTAATCTGGTTAAAGAAGAAATGACACGAAATAATTTTTATTGATAAAACCACTAAAATATAATTAGCATAAAACCACGTGACAGAAGAAAAAAAACACAGCCTCTATTCCAATAACCAGAATTTCCTATGACTACACCTATTTAAAATTTCACATCTATGATATAATAAATTCTTAGGTTCATTGCAAGTGGCTAGTGCTAATTTTTCCTCCATGCATAATAAGCAATACTTGGTCCCTGATTTATACTTATGAGATTTTTTTTAGTATTTCCTGTTTTAAAATTGGGCCAGTACCATCTTACCGCTTAATATTCAATATTTACGTAGACAGGTTTGTGCTGTGATTGTAATTTTCATGCTTAAAGCGACTTAAATGATTATAGTAACGCTTTTGAAATTACTGTTCCAATTACTATTATTAGGTATATTCTCTGTGTTTCAACCTTGTAAAATCACATTCTTGTTGGCACATGCCCTTAAGTGAGCAGACATCCTTATTTCTACAGTTACATTTAGTGTGGGGAGGGGTGTAGTTTGTCTATGATTTCTTTTCTGTTATATTTATTAATTAAGCCATATTCGGCATACAACTCTAACTTAATTTAACATAATTTCTCTTGAACATTTTGTACAATACGTTGTTGGCACAAATTCTATTTTAGTAATTTAAAAATATTCTTTTTCTATTTTAGTTGTAACTCTTAAATTATATGTGGGGATAAACCATAATATCTTCCTGGCCCGATTTTTATGTTTAACCTGCATGTTAGGGGAATCATCAGTATTAATATATATCAATTTACTGTTGTGTCCACTATTTTCCAAGGCCCTTTCGTAGTCTTGCTTATTTTGGTTAAATATATTAACACTGAATGAATTAGTAGCAATCTATAACTAATTCCTTTAGGTATATGTTTTAAAACACGCCTGGTGGGGTTTGAACCTACATCAATATAACGCGAACGTTGGTTGTTTTTTTCTAAATGGAGAAAGTGTGCCATGACGTGAGTCGAGGGCCATGTCTAAATAGTTTGTATCTTTTAAATTAGTTTGTATTTCTAATTTAAATCCGAACTTTTAAATATCCAGTGTAATATTTTACGGATTATGTAACCATTTTTGGGGTACATTTATCTATTATATTTAGACCATCGTCTTTGTATAGAACATAGTTACTTGGGTAGATAAACTTATTGAAATTATTTAATTTGAGGTACCCTACTAATTCGCACATTTCAGCTCCGTCATATGCCCCCATAGCGTTATCAAAATTGCCACAGTCTCCATTTTTAATCCATAACACATCGTTATGTTATAATAACGACTTGCGGCAGTGCCTAATGATGTCGATTTTATCATTAGATATAGGAATATTCTCCTTTGTCAGTTATCAAGCTTTATTACTCTTTTTTTTTTCTGTAATGGACGGATATAAATCTTTTATGTAATATTTTACAATTGAATATTTGTGGTTTTTGTCATAATTACTAAACCATTCTATGTAGTCACGATTACTGCGCCATTGGTTAATGTTTAAAGCAACTCTAAATGTATCTTGTAATATTATTTTGCTGATCTTCCACATTTGCGTTGTAGTTGTGTTGATTAGCCGACATTCAGGGTTATTATACAAATCCTTTTTGTGATGTTCTAATTTTATGAAACAATTTTCAATGTTAATTTCCTTTATTTTATTATCGAGATTAAATTTGCTAGCAAGTATACTAGCTTCATTATTGAGTTCAATTTCTAGGTTAGCACAGGGACTTCTTATAATGCTTAATTTCTTCTTTATTTGGTATACTATTATATTTAATATGGCTTAGCTTATATAGAAAACTAGATTTATCTTCCTTAACGAATAACTCTTTGCTATTTTTAATATCTTTCAACTCCCTTTTGATTTGTTATCGTATGGTGTTAAGAAAGTTTCTATATTTTAGCGTTTTAACTAAGCCGATCAAGTCGGTTTTGGAGTTATCTAACTCCTTGATATGGGGTGGGTGGGCATTGGGCTTAAATCCATGTCTCAGTGATTTCTTAGTGGCTATTCTGTTTATTAGTAAGAAAAACGGAAGCTTTCCATCTCATACTAGGATTCTATCATTATAAGCAACTCTTCTTATAAATGCCTATCGGGTAAAGGGATATTTTTAAATGAGTAACCAATATTTACTTGCTCTATGACGATTAACTTTAAAAAGCGCTCGATCGGGTGACATAGAGCGAAAATTATTATATAATAGTAGTAATCGGTTAGTAAAAAAAAAGAGTTGTGCTATCCGAGGTTTTTACCAACCAATATATATATATATATATATATATATATATATATATATATATATATATATATATATATATATATATATTTTTTTGTTTAATTTTTTCTGTTGATCATAATATTTCACTTGTAAACAAGAATGCTATACCGATCTGAAGAAGATTTTTTTTTTATGTCTAATTCTATTAATCTTAATAGACTGAGACATTTTTCAACGAAACTTTCCTTAAAAAAAGAGTCGCTACCCAAATAAAACTAGTAGTTTTGCAAACTGAAATCTAAAGATGATTTGGGATAGCAAAAGCTAAACAAATAAACATTTCGTTAGACACAAATGAAAGAGTACTAAGCAGTTAAGTAATATCAATCCTGTCAATCAGTACAGCACTGATTGCTGAAATTCTCGTAGATGAAGAGACTTGAAGCAAAAGAATTTTGGTTCAACAGAAGGATGCTGAAAATAGCAGGAACATTTGCTTGGAAAATTTGATACTCACAGGAAATTTTGACGGGAATAGGAACAGAGTAAGTGAATACATAATCCACAAAGCGAGCTTGTGCAGATTGACGGCGTAAAATTTTATAGAAATAATCGAAAAGAGAAAAGTTATTAAAGACTAGAAGGTGAAGAAATTGTAAAATGATATGGTCGTCCATGTTTTCAAGGGACAAGCTATATAGAAGAAGAAGAATGTGCATAAAAACCATCCGGAAGGTTATTCACGTCAGAAATAGTAACGAAAAGTAAAAGGTATATGATTTTGCTACACATATATAGAGTAATGGACACACACACACACACACACACACACACACACACACACACAGACATATATATATATATATATATATATATATATATATATATAATTTTATAATAATACTGACAAATACAGTCGCTAGGTGTCACTCCAGATAGATATTTACTGTGTAGTGTTTTATGGGCTAAAAAAGGCAAGAAGTGAAGTTAATCGGGTTATGCTGCAAAGATAATGCTTAACTTTAGACATGATGAGGTGAAGATTATATTGTGAGTGGGAAGATGTTCGTTTGGAAGTTAGTTCTTAATAATGAAATACGGAAGGAATGGAGATGATTCACATTTGTGTAGGTGGAATGGTATGTACTGGCTGGCGCATGGTTGTTAGAATCAAGGAATGTAGCTTGTCAGAAACATGCAATGGATATAGCTATAGAACAGTGTGATGCTCGCGACGTTTCGTCCGTGAGAAAGCGTTGACGTCAGAGTTCCTTGTGGATTATTCTGAACTCTATCAGGCTAGAAAAATTGGGACGGAGAAGCTCGGGTAGAAATACATAGCTTAGACACTGATGAATTTAAATAAAATAGTAAATGAAAGCACAGCGTAATATTTTCAGAACGACAACCACAAAGAACTGTTTGTTCGTCCTCATATGCCCGACAATTATTTCGACAAATATTTCGAAATAATGCATTTTTAATTAAAAGAGAATGCATGTTATTAAGGAAAAAATATATATTGGAAGTACAACAATTGCAAATTACATTTACATGCAGTATGACACTACATCTCTCATTCCGAACAATTTATTTCAGTTATAATGTGGGATAATTAAAAACATTAGGAATTAAAACAAACAATGGGAATGTAAATGATATCTGCTAAGTAAAAAAAGTAGCTATACCGAGCGTCTCGTCATTTCTAATGCGTTCGGCGTTAAATTTATCTCTTCTCAATATATATATATATATATATATATATATATAACATTGAAGTCAACACATAGAGGCGACAGTCTTTTTCATGCCAGACGCAATTGACAGACCACATTGCGTCTAGCATGAAAGAGACTGTCGCCACTAAGTTTTGACTTCAATGTTCACTTTTATATTTATCCACGCTCTATCTCTGATATTGAGAACTTTATCTCTTAAATATAGCTCCCCTTAAGACTTTTTTCTCATATATATATATATATATATATATATATATATATATATATATATATATATATATATGTCTATGTGTGTGTCTGTGTCTCTGTATCTGCGTGTGTGTTTGTGTGTGTGTGCGTGTGTTCAAACATATATTGTTAAATATAACACACAACCAGCGGCTATTATCTTTGATCAAGATCCGTTCTAGGCTTCGTATAGTTGCTTTATTTTTGGTGGAAAATAATGAATAAATTGTCCAACATTTGTATAACATTTTATTATACTGTGACTCGCCTCTATCTATCTATCTATCTATCTATCTATCTATCTATCTATCTATCTATCTATCTCATTCTTTTCATTATCTATCTATCTATCTATCTATCTATCTATCTATCTATCTATCTATCTATCTCATTCTTTTCATTATCTATCTATCTATCTATCTATCTATCTATCTCATTCTTTTCATTATCTATCTATCTATCTATCTATCTATCTATCTATCTATATATATATATATATATATATATATCATTCTTTTCATTATCTTCAGGTACTTCATCTAGTACCTGGCATTTATTATATATATATATAAAGAAATTCCGGGTGGTGCCAAGCGGCGGTGAAAAATGTATATTTATTATTAATAGTATATATTTTATTCCCTATTGTGCATTTTATTGTCACCAGCACCTAGATTGCAACACGTTATGCGCCATATATATATATATATATATATATATATATATATATATATATATATATATATATATATATATATATATGTGTGTGTGTGTGTGTGTGTGTGTGTGTGTGTGTGTGTGTGTGTGTGTGTTTGTTTGTGTTTGTGTGAGCGTGTGAGTAAATTTGTATGAAAAACAAATGGATTGGCAAATGTAAAACTAATATTTTGACATATTCTGCCGAATAACTGTTGTCATCAGTAAAATTACCGTATTTCTCTAATGCTAACACTCGTTTTTCTCCTGAAAATTGCCGTAACAAATCACCCTGCATCTTAGAACTGAAAGGTCAATAGAAGTGTTTGATAACCCTCACGAAACCCTGTCACGAAATACAAGCAATCACGAACACCGGACATACAATAAGACTACGGCCATCCTTCATGTGTAATAAATACCGTATATCCTGCTAATATATTACAATATATATACTGTTTTATTCTAGTAATAATGATAAGCCCTGAGCTACTGTGTACCGTTACTGTAAGTATTTCCCGCGTCATAATACAGGCTGGCGTTTCTTATGCACATCAATAACACTATTCTTATTAACTCCGTTTGTGCACTATTGAAACAAACCAGTTTACGGAAAACAACTACTGTTCTTTCCTAATATACTGTTAATTCCCAGTACCTACTATCTGCCATGTTTGTTTATGATGATGGTCGCTTATAGCGACAATTACGAGTTGTTTCTGCTAGGAATAAGTATGACATTTTGCTAAACTATTGAAAATTTCATTAATAACCACGACTAATTAATAATAAATCTAAAATATGATAATTTCTTCTGACAGAAAGAAAAAAAAAAGGCACTGTAGATGCGACGTCTTGAACTTGACGGTAACGGTAGGTTATTAAATCCTCAAATATTCCCCCCCCCAAAAAAAAAATACCTAGCTAATTAGAAGGAGCGTTTTAGCATAGAAAGGATAAGGTACTTTTTTTCAAGAAATAAGTGTTCTTACTGGGATAAAACATAATTCGAAGCGACTTTCCACAGATTACTTTTAGGATGCACAGCAATATTCCGAACAGACAACCTCGCCACTTTCATTTCTACATTCTGATTTCTCTCAAATGGTGATAATTAAAAAAAGCACGTGTTTAACAGCCTGGCATGACACTTAAATTCTGTTCGAGTTTATCACAATATTCAACCCTCTATCCGCCTGTTTTACTGTTTTTCTTTCATGCACAGACTACGTAATTGTATGATTCTGTGGGGATGTGAATTGCGATTATCGCTCTTTCGTTATGACAATGTTAAAAGATTCGCGTGACGTTCGATATTGACACGAGTTCGTGGAGGTGCTAAAAATACAGTTGCTATTGAGCATGCGTAGAGACATGACCTGTCTTCCAATGATAGGGTCTGATGATAGATCGCTAAGGCTCTAGTTATGATATCTCAAAATTCGGCCTGGTCGTTTTTCTTCTGATCTAAAACCTCGCTTTTTGCCTTTCCAATTTGCTTGTATTATTCATATGTTACATTTTCTCTGTTTGGGTCAAATATGTGACAAGTATGTATATATATGTATACTATTTATTGTATGATATAACGGTATATAAAATCTCTGTGAAAATAATTTATGTTTAGCATTCCTTTCCTTCAGCCATTCTATTCCGTTCGTGTATTAAGGGCTTCCACTATCATGGATGTTATGGTCCGGTTCATTGTCCCACGGTGATAATTCAAGGTAGAACCAATAAAGAAGAACTCGAACACGTATATGGAATAACACAGATATATTACAAACAGGAATATATACAGAGAAGTAGAAAGTGTTAGTACGAACAATCAGGTTTAGTAGTAATTGTCTGAACGCAACTCTGTTTCGGACTGCCTCTGACTCGACTGACTGACTCGCTCGCTCTGACTGATTGACAGACTCCTGACGGACTTCACTCCAGACTTCAGACTGAACTCCAGACTTTAGAATGAACTCCAGGTTTCAGACGGAACTCGCTGCTTCCTCTTGAGGCGCAGTATTTATTACGTATGGAATAGTCCATTATGTTATTATGGGTAAGGTCCCATAACAGATGGATATAATAATGCTTATAATAGGGAAATATAAACTGGAAATAGTCTTTTTAGCTGATCACTAACATTAAGTCATTTTAGATTTAAAAAAAAGATGGCCGGGAGACATGGAAAATATTTCACAGATTGCCCGTTGCCTACTAGTATGCATATAATGTATCCAGGTATAAATCATCGTCGTCGTTCAAAGTGCTACAGTTTCATTTTCAGTCAGCTTCCATCAGTACATATTAATTATATCTTTAATATTCATTTTATCGCTCACACACATACATATATGTGTGTATATGTCCGTGTGCTTTTGTGCATGTTTGGCAGAAAGGGAGTAGTGTGAAAATGTGTGTGTTTGCGTGCGTGTATCTGCGTAAGAAAAATGTGAAATAAAGAAAAATATAAGAGAAAACTTGCTATTATATTTACCAAAGTATGTTTCTGATATTTTTTTTCTTAAAGTCCATATTGCTTTAGTTTAATCAATTCTGACACTGAAGCTGATCAAAGAATGGATCTTTTTTTTTCCGAAACGTTCTAATTTTCTTTTCTTTTTTCGGCGTTTTTATTTATTTTCCGTTCGCCATGTTTTTTGTTAGTTTTAAGCACTGCGCCTTTCCATCATTTATTCGTCACATTTATTCTTCTCAGTTTAAACAATCTTCCCCTCCTTGATTCAGTTATAATATATTGACGGTATTCTTTAGCTTTTATGGGGCCTTTTTTTTGCTCTTTCTTCTTCAAACCAGACACTGCGCTGGTTATTTTCTTCCTTTCAAAAGAATCGTGCACTTTTCCTGGACATGTTGTCGATTCCAATCACTTCATCTCCACACCCTGTTCGACCGTTAACCTGGTCTGCCCAAGGATTACGTCATATGTAAACAAATACATAGATAAAATTAAAAGAAAATGAAATGGATGGATTAGAATCGTATATTATTGACATATTTAGATAAATATAAAATGTAAATTTTCAATCTCACCACACGGGAGCAAACACACTCACATACATATTGATTAACTAATCATTCGAGGCAAAACCATCAGACAGCGCGGATTAAAAAAATCCCTTTTACAGGTATCTGATGTGGTATAAACTTCAAATATACGGAGAGGAACTTAGTGACACTTTTTGTGAGAGAAGGTATACATCGGCGTGATAATTTCTTAAAAGAAAGCCAGCACGCTGAAACTATCGATCACGATGACTTCTGACATCGTGTTTGCTTATCCATTCACTCACAGGTGTTGAATTACCTGTAGTCTTGTTAACACCTACTTTCCAAAGTTGCTAGGTGCTGGAACCAAATCCTCACTCTTATATAAGCAAGAAATCACCGCCTGCCAAAGCGAATATTGCGAAGAGTGAACGTCCAAAAGACTCAGCCACGTACCAATAACATACATACATAGATACATGATGGTGAATGCTATATCTTCCTCTGAAGAGAGCCGCGACCCCTTACCCCACAAATCACTTTTGATGGCTTCTGTTTTTTTTTCCGCATCCATTGTCCATTCGTTTTCATATGCATATATAACAGATAAACTTTATTCTTTATTAAATTGATTGGATCTGCATGCCGTAAAACTCTCCGATTTATGACTACATATCATCACAACCCAGATAACGATCTGCAAACCTTGTTGCATACAACACAAATTTGTCGCCTAGTAGATTAAGGTTTGGGAAATTTGGCTAGTTTCTGATTGTTATGACGTCCTTTTTGATTGTTTACACAATACTTCGAGAACAGCATGCATTCGCACACACCACAATTCTAATCAAAGTGAGAAAATCATCGGACATCCCGATGGATCTGAGTATACCTGAGACATTCATCCTCAAAGACGATACATCCTTCCCTCGTAAAATGCCTTCACTCTGGACGACTTAAAGTCAGTTCTTCCCAGATCTGCACATAGGTGTAGAAGACATATTATCTCTCAGATTATATTTAAATCCCTTTCTAACCCTGTGTTGTGAATGTTTTTTTCTGATGCATATTCTCTGTAGAAAAGTTGTTTGAGAATCCTGTTAACGCACAGCGTGATCTGATTGAGCATTATTATTGTTTAAATGTTGTTGCATTCAAATCTTTGGAGTACAACATTGTCTGCAATCAACAACAGCCATTTAAAGTTCAGGATTCTTCTCGGGCATTTTTGGTGGAATTGCTCAAGCCAGTTTTTATACCTCCATTATGTTGCCCATATTTCAGAAGAATGGATATCAGAACACAAGCATTAAAGTAAGTGTGCATATTTACTTTAATCTTCACGCCAATGTCTCTATCTAACCGAAATTTACTTTTCCTTTTGCCAAATGCAAGACTTTACCTCTGAATATGTGAAACAATCGCAGCGTCCATGGCAACGTACATACATGCATGAGCATTCATGTATTTACGAAGTATTATGAGACAATTCGTGAAATTTAAAGATAGTGATCAATTTTTTTTTCAGTCCAGTTATATTGCCTTTCCTAAGTAGCTAATATGCTAGCATTTCGTTTTAAGGGGAAACGATTCTATATCATAAATTCGACGTAAACTTAGTTGCATTAGCATATGGCAAGATTTTAGTCTCATTATCGTCAATGATAATATGATAATGACGTACTTGTGAAGGTGCGAAATTATTTCTTTCAAGAAAGATGAAAATCATAAAAAATATTTCCATTCTTCACACATTGATTGTGAACTGATTTCATCCGAAGAGATAAACATTGTATATTATAAAACTATTTTTAGCTGAACAACATTCAAATTTATTTTAGCTAAATTTCTGACTTTTTACGGAGAAAGATAAGTTCAAGGAACAATATAATCTACTAAAGTGGCTTGTTTAATCCCTGTTGCAGACAGAAAAAATCATGTTTTTTAAACACCCAGAGCGAAAAGCTGTGATGCATACAGCAACTACCTAGAGCAGATATTGATAAGAATGTCCGGATGAAGGCATAGAACATTGCATGATCAACAGTTTTGGAAAAGCCAATGCGTTTAAAACTCCGATCACGATGAACTGTGACACTGGGCAAGCAGACAATAACGACTGTTTCGGACAGTTCCCTCTACTCAATTTTGATCTCATGGCGTGAGTTACAATTTTTGAAGTTTCCCAGGCAGAATCAGAAAGTTGTCTTGGAAATTTCTGGGTATAAATAATGCCAAAAAAAAAACTTAAAACAATTGACATTGACAAGTTATAATGCAGGAAAAGAGGTGAGGGAAACTTGAGTCACATAGCTAAGTCCGTTTTGCAAATGCATAGCACTGCAAGAGTCAGCAGGATAGTAAAAATTACAAATATTAATAAGAATCTGTAAAGAGCCTTGATCGCACACATCTTGATGGGACACGACGATTAAAATAAAAAGATTACGAAAGAAACATTCGTTCAATTTTCTAAAGAAGTTAAATATCAAACCCAAACATTATTATTTAATGTGAACAGAATTCAGCACATTTTTTTAATCCAGAAAAATGAGCCAAATAATCCCACTGAAGTTAAAGATGGACACCATTTGGTTCAATCTTCTTGCTCTTTTATGTGTTGTGTCCCTTCAGGATGTGGGCAATCACAGAATCAAATCCTACGTTTGTCCAGTGTTAACTTTTTACTATCCTTTCCAATACAGGTTCTGCCATCCTTTTACAAAAGCTTGTTAGGTAGGTTGCTCGATGTTTACTTATTTTTGTTACCTTCAGTATTTCTCGTGATTGTTAAATTCTCCAAAGCTTGTTTCCTCAATATGTATCCCATGAATTTCAAATGTATCCTGCGGATGTTAAATGAAAATCAATAGCTGCTCACACGCTCCTGTCATGGAATTCTCTGCAATTTTCTGTAAAAGTTTATTTTCCTTTAATTTCGTTTTTATCTGTGAGGACAGCATCCTATGCCATATACGAAAAATTATGTTGCATAATATTTCCGAAATATTTTCTTTGTTTCTAACGGCATTTTCCTGGTTCATAATACTGCGATTATCTTGGCCAAAACTTTCGCTATTACAATGAGCATTAGGATTTCCGTATCACATTTCCCGTCAATTGCTAAAACACTTGCTAGATATTTATTTATTACTAATCTCTATTTGGTCTAAAATGTTCCTGAAAAATTATTTAGACAACCCAAGGAAAGATATCTTCTTAATATCCAATCTTCCCTGTTCGAAATGATGGAAAATCTATTATAATGTACACCATACGTTAAGGATATTCTGAGGGTAGTAAGTTGCAAAAATAATCCTTCATTACTGCAAAATTATCTGTTGTAAATTTATTAATCGCCCTAACGTCTTTAGGGAAATTTTCCTCAACAACAGAATTATTTCTCCATAGCTTTCATTTAGATCCTTAAAAATATGATATAAAATGATTCTTCATAGAAGAAGCCTAACATTGAAGTAAATATTTTAACCAATTTGGCACGCGGATGCTAGCCATTAAAAGTGAAAAAAACATTTTGTTGGCGTTATATGGAAACTAAATGCTCCAGTTAACGTTAATGTTACTCAACGTGGTCACATTAAATGTTGAATTATTCTTTCTCATGCTTATAGGATAAGCATAAGAAATCGGTTTGTTATATATTTACGTGGACATATATATATATATATATATATATATATATATATATATATATATATATGGATGAAATAAGTTTATTTAGATCCTTAACCATAACAAACTTATTACTCACCAAATCAATAGGATTTATATAGCGTGCTATTAAATATATATACACTGTATGCATATCTATATAAGAAGCTAGCAAATTCATAAGAATAAATATTCGGAAGAATTTGGTAGCTTCTACACAAAACTTTGCATAAATTGAGCATTATCATCCTAACATATATTTCTCCTTATGTTTCCAAAGATTCCTCGCAGACAAATATTCGAACTGCATTCGTTTTAATATTCTGATTAACTACAGTTAAACCGAATGTACTACGAATATTTTCACTAAATTTTGTGCGCTCTCAGTAAGATTGATGCCCAAAAGGAATATTTGGAAGCATCAAGATAAATATATGTTACCATGTGTAATTTTTTGTGTTCAATTTAGACAAATTTAGTTTAGCGCATCAGGTATCTATTTCTTCTACTCTCGCTATTCACTATATATCAATATCTCTTCCTCTCTTTCACTACCGCTCTCTCACACGGACGCGCGCGCACACACACAGACACACACACACATATTTATATATGCTTATAGCGTACCAGAAAAATCATTTTTTAAAACATTTTATCATGTGGGAGGATAGCGGCTTGGATTGAGGAATCGGAGAGCCGGGCTCTAATTCCAGTTATACCATTTCATCCACCATCGTGCTAATTCACTTGGGAAAAGTATGAATCTTC